TTTTGAGTTGTGGTGGAGTATATTTACTAAGTACAGTTCTGAGGTAAATGTGTCCATTTTACTTTTCAGAGGGATATATTGTACTTGTGTACTCTGCTACATTAATTTGACAGCCTGCATTATAAATATAGAATAGAATACGATATGCTAAGATTAGTGATAGACCAATTAATCAGTCGGCTGATTATTTGGCATTTAGAGATAATTGGCTGTCAGTGCTCACAAGGCTAATAAACAAACATGTCTTCATACACATCTGCAGGTAGTCTCACCAGTGTGGCTGCTGTGGACTAATATTAGCGCTCCCCTTTGTGAGTTTTTGTAGGGTAGTGTAAGGTTGGTGTGGTTGGTTGTAGATGACTTTTCTTTGTTCTAATATCAGCATTATATTGGCCATCGGCAGCTCTCTAAATATCGGCATCGGCAATTGAAAAACCCATATTGGTCGACCAAATTAGTGGTTTCTAACTATTTTGGCTTGCCATCCCTCACAAAAATTGTCTAGTTTCGGATGTATATGAGTTGTTAGCTGTTTAACCAAAGAGACATTTCACCTATAAAGTTCTCAAATGGTTTAATTTAAATTATTGTTGCAGAGTCTAAAATTCAAAACGTTAATAGCTCCAGATGTATCCTGTGACTCTTTGGAGGGGCTCAAACCCTAAGTTGGGAACCTCTGGACTAAAATACTCAATTGTAATTAGTTCAATCAGAATCAGAATCAGAGTCAGATTTATTGCCAGGTAGGTTTTTACACATACGAGGAATTCGTCTTGGTGCAAAGGTGTTTAAAATATACAATCACACAAAAATCACACAAGAATGTTTTACTCCACTCTGATGGAATAGGCTGCAGTAGTATTTAGAATTGTATCATCTTATTTTTGAGCCTGCTATTATTCTTTTTTTCAATCAATTACCATACCTGCGTCGATATGTAAGGTTAACTAGATATTAATCTTATATTGTTGTGTTAAACTTTTATTTATGGAATCCTTTCACTGTTTTATTCTTATCTTTTATTTGCATTAAGTTCAATATTTGTCTACATTTTTGTATTTTGTTTTACTTTGATATATATTACCACCGGGTGGTGCAATGACCCTGATGAATCAGATTGTTGGAGGCCCCAAGTGGTCTATATTAAACAAATAAAACATTATAAAATAAATAAAAAATCATATGATTTAATACAGGCGAGATATTTAATATAACTACAGAATAGTGAACTAATCCAGAAAAAGGTTTTATAAAAGCTCATCTCATTATGTTATTTCATTGTGTTTTTTTTTTACTATAACAGTTTATTATAGGTCACTTTTATTTCAGTCTGGCAGTTTTTATTTCAAAAAGTATTTTTATATTATATATATATTTTTAAATTCATAATTCCACTTTTCATCACCAAGTCATTACCTGTAAATCAAAACAATCAGGGCAGACTTAGTTGCTGTTAAAAATGTATCGGATGCACAATTCCATAGTTTTATTATATATTTTGTTTGTATCAATTAATATGATTATTTACTTAATGATATATGTTTTTAATGTTAAACACTTTAGGTCTCCAAAAAAGATATTTCACTTGTACCATTGCTTTGTGCTGTTTCCTCGAGTAAATGGCAAGTTTTGTGTAGAAATGTATGGCCAACAACAAGACTTACTCAAAATAACGTCACTTTATTGGCAATTGTTCTTATTATTCCTAATGGCATTGAAGATAGTCTCTTACCAGATGTTCTGGCTCCAGACATTGCTTTCAAGAAATAAATGATTGAATACAAAGTAGAATTTTGACACAAGTTCAACCCAGTGTTTTCCCACTACAGACCCCTGGACACGTGCTTTACCAAAAGCAGTGATTCAGGGCCAACTTGGATCTCCTTTCGGTCTTCAAGGGCGGAGGAAATTAGTTTTCTGGGTATCTGAAACTTTGTTCTATAGGGCCTGCACAATCTCTTGCCTCATCAAACCTCCATGGGCCTTTTTTTTTTTTCAAAACCCTGAATTCTTTATTGAAAATATGCATACATAACACTTTTCCTACACAACAATACAAAACAGTACAATCACTTTTGTAAATAACACATTGAACGCAAAGCCACACATCACCCCTTCCCGCCCTAGTCCAAGGAGCTTAGAGATGCTACAGTAAGCCCTTAGTATTCCCCACCCAGCCCCTACCCACCACCACGGTCACCTCTGAGAGAGAAATAAGACATAGTTAAATCAGAAACAACTCCCTTGGTAAACTCAGACAAAAGAAGAGTAGACACCAGGTTGCATACAGACATAGCATCTGCCACCAGCAGGTAAATGATGGTCTTTACTGAAACTCTTGTTTGGGTTCTTAAGTGTGTATGAATGGCCTCAAGTCTTCTGAAATAATGTCGGATGTGGGAGAGGGGTCCATTCTGCAGCCTGGAGTTGAGATAAAGGTTTCCAGAGTGTGAATATCAGACCACGACACATGTAACCTACAGAAAACACCAGTGTGCCTCAAGTGATTCGGCTTTGATACGGGTCAGTTCAACCAACAATGGCACACCAAGAGAGAGATTTCGGTCAATTACACAGACATGCGATTTTTTTTACATGAAGGAAACTCTTTAAAGGCGAGGGGTGGATAGTTCAAAACCTGATTTGATTGTAGGTAACACACTTCCTAAAAACTCTTCCCACTCCAATTGGCATGGGTGTTACTGTGCATATTCGTTTGGAATAGTAGTGGTAGATAAAATGCAACTTAACACAAAGGAAATGTAAAAATATAATAAAATAAAGATGACAGGGGTTATTTAAGATTACAAAATAAAATGAGGACTCCAAATGTCTGGTTATATTTTAATATGATCATACAGGGATAGAGGTCAACCAAAAATGATATATAATGTGAACAAAAAATTTAAGTAACAAAAAAGTTCAATAAAAACAGACAGAAAAGCACTGATTTTAAACATGTTTTACTGTATATCAGTCTGTAGCAAATAGTCATTACATACCCTGAAAAAGGGAGGAAGAAAGCTTTGAATGGTGCTCTGACCACTGAATAACTTGGCTGGAGAGCAAAAAGGGGTTTATTAATGCTGAACTCTCTCTAAGCTCCAAGTACCCTCGACATGAGGCTGCTGTGCCTTAAATGCACGAGGTTGAGTTTTTATAACGTCTATAAATATAATCAGTCACTGCTTTTGGGTGCATAGAGGCATAGTAAGGGAGAGTCAATTCCTTTAGCAATCTCCTGTTAGGTTTTAAATCTTTGCCAATGCAACCTTTAAAAGTCATCAGAACAGCGTGGCGACCGTAAGCCTGTGAGGACCTAGTGGATTTATGCCATTGCAGTAGGTGCAAGAGAGCAGAAAGACCACTCAAAGTGCAGTGGATGGCGCGGTGTCATACATACTGAAGGGTTGTGTGCAACTGTATGAACAGGAAGGCAGTTTTGTGCGTGTGTGTGTGTGTGTGTGTGTGGTGTGTGTGTGTGCGTGTGTGCGTGTGTGCGTGTGTGCGCGTGGTGTGCGTTTGTGTTGTTTAAGGATTGCAAACAACTCTCCTAACACTGTGGGCTCAGAGAGTGGTTCAGGTTATTGTCTTCTCTCTAACTTACTCGTCCAATAATTACAATCATTAACTTCTCATATGAAATGACCCTTTGCTAATAACACAACACTTTACAGCTTTTAAAAACATGCCTCGTTCAAATGTATAAATGTCCTTTTTTTCTTTCCCCTGCAAAGATGATACATTTGCCAAATAAACTCGTGCCGTTTGAATGCCACATGGGTAAGGAGAAAAAAAATCCTAATGTAAAAATTAAAGCCCAGATTAAAGAAAAAGAAGTTCTTATTTTACCAAAATGCTCTCAAGTATTCTTTTGTTCCACAGATAGAGGTCCCTATGGGGCTTTGGATAACTTAGAATTGGTTTAAAATCCTCTTTACAATTTTACTATGGGGTCAGGAGGATGGGGAGGGGCTGGTGGGGGTGGGTGGGTCTTCTGCTGGTGTGAATTGAGCAAACATACAAAAACACGCACCAATTAAACCTGCACCCACAAATATCAACTCTCCCTAATGTGTGCATGCATAATCGCTCTCACTCACACTCAAACTCATACACACACACACACACACACACACACAGAGGAGGGACAGCAGTCACAGGTTTGCAATAAAAGTTGCTCTTGAGCTCTTTCGCATGTGAAAGCATGTCTTTTGAGAAAGGTCATAGTGTATGTCCTGACAGAGGGGAAACCCCGCCTCACTGACAACGTCTGACCCCCCTCACCGTTGATATGTGACCTGTGAATCCCTCTGTCCTTCTCCTCTTGATGTAATGGAGTTGTGCGGTAGCTAGCTCGACAGAGGGGGCTGGGAGTTGTCAGTTGAAAACCTTACGGCAACTGTCCTTGTTAGAAGTTAAATTAAGGAATAAAAAGTTTGTTTTTCCTAATGTCGAGAAACATGAAGTTGAATCTTCACGCTAAAGCTTTCCACGGGCACTACTTGAGCTAAGATTCACCTCTTAAATGAGAATTACGCTATGACTATCATTAAAAAATTCCAACATTTAGCATAGCCTTTTTTGTGTGTT